GTTGTTACAATGTCCTTGGAAGGTTATGCTGTCTAATCACACAGTAGTCTCCTAATATTCTATAGCAATCTTGTGCAAGCAGATGAGGTGTTCAAAAAAACAGAAATTACTGTCTCTTGTAAGAGCTATATGTGTGGCATGTGCAAATTCTTAAAGCTAAATTATTGGAATTTGATTTTTTTTTTTTTTGTATATATACATTGGGCCTACTTACTTGGTTCAATGGATGCATACATATGTGAAATCCAAAGGATCACTGCAAATCAGTAGTTGGGGCTACACACAGCGAGAGACATGATCTTTCAGGGTCTGTGCAAGTGGCTTCTTTTCTGCAAAAGGGCCACTTGCTTGACACCAATGCCATTCCAAGAACACCTTGTGCTTTTTTCAATGAATACAAGGCGTTCTATGATTGGATGGGGTGGAGAGAAGTGGCGATGACATCATGATCTCCACCTCATCCAATTCAAAAATGGCTTATATTCACTGAAAAAATACAAGGTGTTCTAAGAATAGCATTGGCGCCAAGCAAGCAACCCTGTGGTCAGTGTGCAGAGGGAAATCTGTTTGCACATAATCCGGATGATCACAGTTCTCGCTGTATGTAGCGCAGACTACTACAGTGATTTACAGCATCCCCAGCATTGTTAGATATGCACATGCATCAAACCAAGCTGGCCCAACATAAGTACAGGTGTACCTCGGTTTACAAACGCCTCGGTTTATGAATTTTTTTCGCAATACGAACGGATTAATTGGTTTTCAATGCATTTACATTTTTTTTTTAATCATGTCCCTGTACAGTACTATGCCTTTAAAGTGCACTTTATAAGAGTTTTGAACAGATAAAACGTATTTACTTTTTTCTGACCTCCAGAATGGATTAATTGGCTTTCAATGCATTTATGACATTTTTTCACAATACGAAGCAAGTTTCCCCAGGATGAATTGCGCCTGGGAGGTTTATAGCGCCGGTCCCGTGCAGGCTGGAGTCTGTGAGTAGCACGTGGTGTCGAGTGTGGAGGTGTTGGAGCAGTTTTTGCATCAAATTTTGGAGCCATTCTGGAAATTTTTAATCATGTCCCTGTACAGTATTTATGCCTTTAAAGTGCACTTTATAAAGAGTTTAACAGATTAAAAGACTTTTTTTTTTTTACTTTTTTCTGACCTCCAGAACAGATTAATTGGTTTTCAATGCATTCCTATGGGAAACTGCATTTCAGCTTATGAATTTTTTGCAATACGAAAAGTCCCGCATAACGAATTAAATTCATAAACCGAGGTATACCTGTATGCAAAAAACAGAAATCCTGGATTTCAGATTGTAAAGTAGAACTGAAGTTCCACTGTAACAAATAGCAAGCTGGCCGGTTTTTATTGCAGAAGAGACATTCAATGGAGATTTACTAAAACTGGAGCACTCAGAATCTGGTGCAGCTGTGCATGGTAGCCAATCAGCTTCTAACTTCAGCTTGTTCAATTAAGGTTCTATTCACATTAGTGCATCTCCAAAAATCGCATGATTTCCACTGCGGCTTTGCAGCGTGTTTTTGCAACAACTTTTGGTGCGAGTGTTCCAACTTTACATTCTCCGGACCCAAAGTCGCATCAAAGTAGCGCAGGCAGCTTTTCAAAATCGCTGCAACTTTGAGCCACACCGACTTGAACAGATGTCATTTAAAAGTCATGCGACTTTGATGTCTTCGGAAGCCATAAAAGACCATAGTATTCCCTATACAACCAGGAGTCCTAGAATCTGGATTGCCCCACAGGATTAGGAAATGTCCGCTAACAATGTAGAAGCATCAACTGTAAACGTTAACCGGATTCTATCTCCATGTGATAAAAACATCTCGCCGAATCTCTAGAGGCGCACTGTATGAAGACTGGCGCCCTGCGCACACACACGCTCCCAGCCAGTGTCAGCTGTAGGTAGCCGAAACGCTGGAGGAGATGCAGTTTCCTAGGTAACCAGAAAACCCTTGTGGCGCCTTAGACGCAGCAGGGCTCCCTCCGAGGATGGGAAAGAATAAACAGCTATTAACTTTACACCTGTTATGACGGCTGGATGCCTCTTGACATATCTGAGAAAAACATTTCCAGGAGCTGAGGTTTTTTTGGTTTTTTTATTCTTTTTGAAGACGGCTAAATCAGTAAGCAAGTCATTCACTTTGGTTTTAAGGGTCCACTTATCTAATTGTCCTTCGGAAGAAGCCAGAAAATAGCTGCTAAGATGATAACAATTTATCAGCCTGCTCCTATGCAAGGTGTACTTGTAATAGCAAGATTTTTGAAAAAAAAGTCAATGTTAAAAACAAAATTCTTCATTTGCATAATATACTACATAGACAAACCCAATCACAGCGGCATTAAAAAAAAATAAAGACATCATTATGCAATTCTAAGGCTGGAGGAAGGCATTGATTTTAACATTCTGCTAATCACCAATCATAAAAATTTTGATAAAATATACTACATAGACAAACTCACTAAAAGAGACATTATTATTATTATTATTATTATTATTATTATTATTATTATTAATAATCATAAATAATAATATTATACATACACACACTCAAACGATGAGGACAGAATTCTAAAAATATATTATAAATATATCATAATAATAGAAAAATATATATAACATTTCACATGGACAAACCCACAAAAAGACTTAAAAAAAACTACTTTTATGAATAATAATTTAAAATAATATTTTTTAAAGTTTCTTTTTATGGGTTTGTCTATGTGAAATATTATATGTATGAAGATTTTGCTATTATTTGTATGTTGTTAATAATAATAATATTATTATTATTTGTAAAATAGTAATACTGCAAAATCTTCATACATATAATATTTCACATAGACAAACCCATAAAAAGAAACTTTAAAAAAGATTTTTTTAATTATTCATAATAGTAGTTTTTTTTTCATTTAAAAAAAATATTTTTTAAAGTTTCTTTTTATGGGTTTGTCTATGTGAAATATTATATGTATGAAGATTTTGCTATTACTATTTTACAAATAATAATATTATTATTATTATTATTATTATTAACAACATACAAATAATAGCAAAATCTTCATATATATAATATTTTACATAGACAAACCCACTAAAAGACTTTTTAAATGACATTATCTTTTTTATTATTACAAGAAATATTATTGAGTGTTTAACTATGTAAAATGTTATACCTATGATAGTTTTTTCTATTATTATTTCTGATTGCCAGAATGTGCATTTATTTAGAATTATATTAATTCAAATTATGAGGACATAATTTTAAAAATATATTATGCATTATGATGATCACCCATAGTATTATTATTATTACTAACACCAAACATTTTCATACCTAAAATATTTTATATAACAGACTTAAAAAATATTGTTGCTAATAATATTACCAATTATTGAGGACATAATTCAAAAAAATAATATACATTATGATGATCATCCATAGTATAATATTATTATTAATACTAACACCAAACATTTTATACAATAGATGTAAAAAAATTGTTGCTAATAATATTACCAATTATAGAGGACATAATTTTAAAAATATAGCGTACATTTCAATGATCATCAATAATAATAATACAATTATACTCCAAAGACATGCTGGTAGGTTACTTGGCTCCTGTCTAACTTGGCCCTAGTATGTGTATGTATGTACGTATGTATGTATGGGAGTTAGGGAACTTAGATTGTGAGCTCCTTGAGGGTTAGGGACTGACATGAATATACAATATATATGTAAAGCTGTGCCTAAATTCAAGGAGCTATACAAGTACCTGAAATAAATAGTTATACTGTAAACTAAGTACTAGTAAAAATACTTTAAAGTAAACAATAATAATAGCAACATTTTCATACTTATAATAGATTTCAAAAATTGTTAATAATACTAATATTAGTAGTAGTTCTAATTATGAGGACAAAATATTAAAAATACATTTCACATTTTAACAATCATCAAAAGAGGTCAATATTAAGAATATTATAAGCAAAATCTTAATATAATATTACGCCATAGACAAATATAATAAAGACAGTTAAAGCAATTGTAAAAAAGACCGCAATAAAGCAAAACACTTTAAAAAATATTAGCAACTCTAATGATCAGGACAGCATCCTAAAATACATTACAATCATTACTAATGTCATAACAGAAACAAAAAAAGAAAAAAAAAAAGGGGGGGGGCACTAGTTTCTAACTTTTGCAGGGAAGGCGATTTTTTTTCCCCCTGGTTTTGAAAATCAATCAACTTCACAACAAAGTCACTTGTCAATCACTTCTTCTAATTTCTATTTCTAAAAACTCTCCGATGATTATTTTGGGAAGTGACGGACTAAAAACAAAAATGAAAGCTATTGAATAACCCGAATGACTCAAGCGGTCACAGCCTTTCCAGTCATTTTCGGCAGTAGCCATCCAACGCAGATGGGTTTAAATACAAGGGGTATATGTTATAAAGCTGCAGATTGGACATTCACTGCGGGTGAATCTTTGGGGTCCATATGACAGTGATCACTGACCCCCGTGAATATTTAGTGAAAGTCACATTCACCGCTTTATAAATAAGCCCCGTAGTCTGGCCATCGCACAGAGTATCCCAATGCGGCATCGTTCAGGGATATGATGGTCACCAGCATACAATATAGATCCAGGAATGATTGATACCTGATCAATGATCAATACATGAGGACTAGGAGCACCAATACAGAGTCATCATCCATCCAATGTCCTCCCCCTCTGGCAGGAACAGGTGAGTACATAGGATCCGTTCACCTGTTACATGCACAGAGCCCAGCACATCAGGACAATGCAGAATACAATGACAGATCCCACCCACGCCCACACACTGCAACCTGCACACAGCATGATGCATCAGCCACCCTCCCCCACCCACCATCCTGCACAGGGAAACACATGGCTCTCCTATGTGCACGCACAACACACGGTCATACTGTACCGAGCACTCACTCTGCTGCCGAATGAGATGAATAAAGACAGAGAGGGAACTGCCAGGTGAGTGGGCGGAAGTGAGGTCACGGGCCCCTACCTGTACGGCTTCAGTAAGGGCGGAAGCGAGGAAGAGAATCACGCTGAATGCTGCTTTGCTGCTGGTTTTTGCAGGGAGGAGGAAGTGACGACAACTGCGGGCGGAAGTTCTTTTATGCTGTGAGCCAGAACTGGCAAGGGAGAGTTGCTAGGCGCTAGAACTCTGAAGATTCTTGTGCAGACAAACAGAATATGTTACAGTAGAACTAAAAAAGTGAAACGTGTTATTTTTCAGTTTTAATAGAGAGAGAGAGGTTTATAGCCCCTGCAGGTTTTGTTTTATTCTGTTTGTGTCCTTTTGGGGAGACTTTTCTTCACTTCCTGTGTCATAGCCACAAAAGGAAGTGAGGAAATCCCTCCAAAATGAGGCAATCGCTGGCTAGTGTCCCCATTTGAATATTTCTGTTTTATGCCAGTTCTGGTGACAACCCAACATTTGGGATTTCCTTTAACTTTCAGTGATAACGGTAAACAGGTTGAATCTCCCTAACGGGGACACAAACAGTGATAAAACCTGACTAGGGTTCTAATTCCCCTCCACTCTAACCAATAAGAATAGTTTTGCTTTACTTATTGTGATGGGTAGGGGGGCCCATGGAACCCAGCTCACTTTGGAGAGGTGGGGAGACCTGTCTCAGCTCCCCCTGTGCCTGTTAGGGGTACGAGGTGATCTGTCGTATTATTGTGTGGGCTTTGTCTCAGACTGTGTAGACATGTCTAGGAGATAGGTGGGGGGTTGTTGATTGTTATGTGGTTGCATCCCATTGTTCTATTGTTTGTCTGGCTTGGGAGCAAACTATTATAGTATATATGTGTTTATGTGTATTAGCTTAGTGGGGGGGGGGGGTCTCCAGCAGCCCTCCCTCCTGATGGGACTGTCTGCTGGTGTGAAGTTTGAATACCTTTGTGTCTCTTGTTACTAAATGTAGATTGCCACGCCCTGTGTCATTATGCAGGGAGGGGGGATTGTCCCCTGAGTGTAGATATCTTGTATCTGTGTTCAAATAAACTAGTCTACCTCTTGGTTTACTTAAGGACTGGTATCGTCTAGTCTTGTATGGTCAGCTGTGGTGTCTGTTGTCGGTGTTTGGACGGGGAAGTGGTATTCTAACGGAAGTACTCAAGCGCAGTCTGGGTCGGTTCCGTTACACTTATACTTTAACCACTTCCTTGCTTGGTGGACGTCATGTGATGTCCTTGGAGGGAAGTGGTTATACCAGGATGATACAGGTATCAAAATTTTCAACCGGCGATTCCCTGTAAGGCAGGAGTGATCCAAGTGGCTTAAAAGCCACTGGATCGCTTCTGCGGGCAGCGGAAGGGGGTCACTCCCCACCACCAGCGCCAGCAATGGCTCCACTACACAGAGAAAGAGGAACTGCTGTTCTGTTGTTCTCTGACCCCAGAAATCGGAAGTGATGAAGACTTTGTCACTTTTGGGTTTTGACTCTTTGTTTACCTGGTTTAGTGGCCAGGAAAGCAGCCGATCAGATCGATCTTAATAGACCCCAGATCTCTCCTGAAGGAGGACCTGTCAAAGCCCATGTTTTAACAAGGGATGTTGTTCATCCCTTGTGAATGCAATAAAGTTGATTTTAAAAAAATTAAACAGTGTAAAAATTAAGTTTTAAATAAAATAAATAAAAAATTAATTTAAAACACCCCCTCGCAAGAGTAGGTCCAGCACGCACATGTCAATGGTGTTCACACCACACTTGTGAGGGAATGTCCAGAACGTCAGAGGGAGAGCAATCATTTTAGCTCCAGACCTCCTGAATAACTCTAATCTAGTAACCTTTAAAAGATTTTAAAGCGTCACCAATAGAAATTTATAGGTACTGTAATTTGGTGCTGCTCCACGGGCGTACACAGTTGTAAGGCGTGACTTGTTATTTGGTGACATGTTTGCTATCTATTTACTTGACGTATCATCATTTTATATTTTACCAAACAATTAGGTTTTATATAGTGTGTGTACAATAACATTCATTCATTTTTTTTTTTCTAATTGCGTTTCAAAAACTGCTGCTCAAATATCGTGTGACATAAAAAATTGCAACACACACCATTTTATTCTCTAGGGCCTCTGCAAAAAAAATATTTAGAATGTTTGGAGGTTCTAAGGAATTTTCTAGCAGAAAATTATGATTTTTACATGTAGGAGAGAAGTGTCAGAATTGGCCTGGGTGGCAAGTAGTTAAAGTATATGTAAACTCAAACATACATTTCTCCTATTTCTGATCAGCAAGTGCAAAAACAAAAGACTTGTCCACCCAGCCAGAAATCTTGTGATCTGATAGCTGATAGCAGTCCAGAGAGCACACAAAACTATCAGTTTGCATTGTTTCCTGCTATCTCTGTAGACTACAAAACACATCCCATTGTTATGGAGAAGAGGGGGAGGTGCTCTATAGTCCTGTCCTAGGGTGAACACATTGCTCAGTTTGGTTGTCAGCCTAGGACAGGAAGGGAGTTTAGTCATTTTTTTTTTAATCAGCACAAGGGACAGTACTTACGCTGGCCATACATTATACAATTTTCTTGAGAATTTTACTTTAGATTTACCAAAAACCATATAATAATAGGGGCTCAAACCTAAACAACACTTTCAATTGTATCCAATTAGGCAGGTCCTTGAACTACATGAAGGTAAATCTAAAGGAAATTGGACAGAAAATTGTATAATATATGGCCAGCCTTACAGTCAAAATGATCCTTTGTGCTGCTGTTCCAGTTGAAATCTGAAATCATATTCCAACCTAAAGCAGGCCATACATGGGTCGAATTCCGAACAATTTTTCGATCGAAAATTGAAAATGTAATTCGTTCTGTAATCTGATGGTGCCACCAATGATTTAAAAAATCAGTAATTTTTTACTAATTTTCCAACAAGTCCTTTAAACGAAATGAGGAGGAACCATGAAAAATCGGTCGGTGCCATTGCCCCACTAACAGAGCGAAAATCGGTAGATTATTCTTAAGTCCGATTTTCGAACAAATAATCGTTTGGAAATCGACCCATGTATGGTTGGCCTAAGGCCTAATGCTAGTGTCCTTCTGCCCCTCCCCCCAAGTGAGAGCACACCAAAATCCCTCCCCCCAAGTGAGAGCACACCCCGACTCTTCACCACCACGTTACACTCCACCTCTATGGAGGAGCTAAAATGAATCCCTGGTTCACACTGTGTGGGTTGGTTGCAGCAATCGCATTTGTTCCCGCACCCAAATCGCACTGCTCTTACGAGACACACGGGGCTTCCATTTATTCTGAATGGCACCCCCGCGCATCTCAGCTTGCAGAGTGTTTGTGGGTGCAGGAACCACAGGGAAATCACATGGTCAAAAAAACCATGCAATTTCCATGCAGCCACATTTTTAAAAAGGTGCATGCGCCTTTTTCTTGTGGAAAACGAAGGCATAGCAGCCTCAAATGAATGGTCTTCTGCACCCACGCAGACATGAGCCACACAACACACACAAGTGTGAACCAGGGATAAAGGGGACCTAACCCCTGTCTACATTTGTCTGCATGGAGTTTGTGTGCTCTCTACATTTCTGCTGTCCGTGTGCTATATAGGAGATGTCCCTTCACTTCCCACCCTAAGGAATAGGGAAGTAAAAGACTATCTCTCAAAGTCAGGAGAGCTTCCTTTAGACAGCCATCACTGAAACAAGTTCCTCCATTGGAAGAATTCCCTTCTATTTTGGAACCAGTGACCAGGACCAGAACAAGGGGTGGGCCGAAGGGACAGCTGACCTGGGCACAATGGTTTGCTGTAGGGATGGGGGCGCCTTCCTTCTGTTGCAAGGCTGCAGTGGCATCCCGAGTCAGGTGCGGGGGGGGGGGCGATCCGCACCGAGTGACACCGACCACACAGGGTGACACCGGACCTGCTCCACAAAAAGCCAAGTTGTAAAGCATGCTGACGATCCTTATCGGCATGCAACCTATATGCGGTGACACCGGACCCGCTCCATGAAAAGGTAAGTTGTAAATAAAGCCAACGATCCCTGCAGGATGCATCGGATCTGCGGGTTGAGCATAATGCTCAATCTGCAGATCCAATCCATTCTGTGGGGATTGTCGGAGGGGGTGTCACCAAGTGTTACCGTACCAGGTGACACCTACCCTAGGGACGCCGCTGCAAGGCTGACTGGAGTAGTGACAGCGGCAGTGATTTTGACAAGCGAGTGACTGCTGGGTGTAGGATCCCCTAAGCTTGCACATCACAAACTGGGAGGGGTGCAGTTTGGTATCTTTGCGCTGGATGACCTTGTACCGGCACTGCCAGTGCCAACTGAAAATTATGCCATTTCCTTTACTTTTTAGTCCCAGTGACAGTCGTCACCAGAACAAAAACAGAGAGTGGATTTTCCCAGACACAGACAGCAGTAAAATCCTGGCAGAGGTTCAGCTGTCCCCCACTCTATCCAAGACATTACCAAAAATGGCTTTAGATATACTTTAAAGCATTACTAAACCCATAACCCTGCGTTCACTATATCCGGTGTCCCACAGTACACACAACATGGAAATGCAATTATTTTAGTAAATATAAACTGCTAAATACCTTTTCTCATCAGCAGTTAGAGCAGTCTTGTGACTTCTATCAGTGTCCAGCTAAGCACCGACTAATCTTGTAGGTGGAGTTTTCATTTTCTTCTGACTGTCCTATGAGGCTGCAGGACCCCTGACCCTCTGTGTGGACAGTGCTGATTGGCCCTGCGCTGATCACATGCACCCTCTCAAAGAAAATAAAAACTCTAGCAATACACACCAAACTGAACATGTACAGCTTGCTCCCAAGGCTCTGTTCTATCAGCAGAAGGGTGGGGACAGTAGAAGAAGGGGAGGATCAGAGAAGACAGGATCAAACATCCTTTTTACACAATGCAGAGGATTAATCCCTTAGGTTCCATAGTGAGTATAACAAGCATGCTTTACTGCATATACAGACTGATTTTACTGTTG